AACAAGGTTCAGAATGCTGACGGGTCTTTATGGGGCGTTCACACCTTCATGTGCTCTGAGTGTGAATCAGATAAACGTGCTGCTTTAAAGTGTGTCTGGTTAAAACAATCAGAGCTAACGAGCGCTCACGTCTCTGGCTGCTCTGCACTATTTGTTATTTCTGCTGCCACTCGTCCGGGACTCGAGGACTCGTCTGAGCGGTGCTCGAGGCCGGCCGAGGTGACTAATGCAGACTTCTGACCCGCTGAACACTGGCTGTTTGCTCAGAGAGCTTATTACACTCCCTCACGCGCCGCCACGGCCAATAAATCCACAATAAATGATTCATTCTGTGCTGCTCACAGTCGCTCTTCACTCACTGACTCTATTTTTGCTTCTCCGTCGGTCTCGCCTTCTTCCTATTTCTTCTCTCCGTATTTACATTTGTGGTGCTGCTTCCTTCCTCCGTCTCCTCCGATCCGGCCGCTGCCTCCGTCTGAGCCCATCGATTGGCTGTCTGCTGGTTCTGCCCGGCGGCCCTCTCCGTCCGTCCACCTGCCTCCCTTCATCCGTCCGTCTTCTGTCTTCATCTGCTGCCTTTTCTATTTTTATCCAGTTGTTTGTGAGGCTGCTCTGTGACAGGCGGCCAGCACGGCGCTACGAATGTCAAATCTGCACCAGAAACCTCCACCAGGGCGCTTTGAGTCCTCGACCAGAAACCTTCAGATCTACACGAGAAACAAACCTTCAGATCTGTACTGGGACGCTGTACATCTGCACCAGAAATCTTGAACTCCTTTACTAGGATTCTGCAAATCGACATTAAAAGAGCTTCGAATTTACACAAAAAATCTGCAAATCTATAATAAAAATCCTTGAATCTTTCCTACAAGTCCTCATATCTATACTAAAGATATTCAAATCTATACTATAAATCCATAAGTCTTCACTAAAAATCTGCAAATCTATAATTATTCTTTGGAGATTTGGAGTATTTGTTCATAAATTTGAGTAAGTTTTGATTTTTTAGGTGTAATTTTAAACAACTTTCTGTCATTTTGAAAACTTCCGTTGGTGTAATTTTGGATTTATTTATTTTCTTTCATTAACGTGTGATAGTTGGTTCCTCACAACAGGTTACAGCAAATGAAAGGTCTCGTTTTTACCTCCATGTGATCCCAGGATCATCTTACAAACACAACTCACTCTTTTTCTGGTGTGTTTTTTATCCTAAATCCAGTGGAATTGGTGGAATAGTTCAGTATTTAACAGCTACAGAGAGTTAAAATCATAAAGCTTTGAGTATAAACAACCTTTATTCCATTAATGATGTCGATTCATGAACCTAAAGGCTGTTTAACAGGATGACAGGAGAACAAACACCAAAACAAATCCTCATTTCTACCTTTAACTCCTTCAGTATTGATTATTCTGATTCTAACTGAGGCAGTTCCACCCACATATAACTGATAACTGATCACGTTAACGAGCTGTAAACTCGTCCCGTGTCTGATTTTTGAAGGCCTGAGTTGGGTTCCTTTCGTTGAACGAGGACAGAAAGTCTCCACAGAGCTGATGTTTAACTCCACGCTCAGTCCGTTTGACTTAAACATCCAAAAGCTCCTTTTGTTTTGTTTCCTAATGAAATGCAAAACCCAGAGGTGGGCCGCTGGAATAAGAGAACGTCATTAAAACTGAAGAGCTGCTCAGGAATCTGGAGCTCTGACGGGAAACAAGAAGAAGCTGAAGAGTTCTGGTTCTGAGACGAGGAGGCGCCGAGCTCGGCCGAGCCGGAGGGAAGCTGAGAGGAAGAGGAGGACGAAGGTGGAGGGAGGTGGGCGGCTTCACTTCCACAAACACGAGGCCTGACTCACCAGCGATTGATGTCCGTGTGTGTTTCCAGCTGAAAGACGGCCTGCAGGCAGACTGAACTAAAAACAGCCGAGGATCATGAATATTCAGGGACTGGTGTGTTTTTATCTTAAATCCTGCTTCATCTCCTCTCCAGTCCTCTGAGCTGCTGTCAGGGATCTATTGTGATGCAGACTGTGAAAAATAAACCAACATTTTAAACAGTTTACTGGTATTTTACAGATTTTCTCTGTTTTGTTAAATCACAGAAAAAAAGTTTAGTAAAAAAAAAAGAAACCAGAACTGTAATTTGTATATTTTTACATATGATATATGGATTATTTATTTATTCATTTGTTTAGAATAACATTTAACAGTAAAATGCACAAATTAAAAAACTGGATTTAAATGAGAAAAAAAAAACAAAACAAAAAAAACAGTTTCATAGATTTAAAAAAAAGTATATTAAGGACAGAAAAATGGTAAATAATTATTTACCCTGAAATCACAGAGAAAAGGTAAACATGCTGATATTTTTAAAAAAACCAACAAACAAACAAAAAACAGGCCAGAAATCTATTCTTCTGTATTTTTACTAATGATATATTTTTTTTAAATTTATTTTTTACATTTTATTTTTTTTTACAATGCTTCTCTGTAAAAAGCTTCTTTTTCATTATTATTATTGTTATTGTTATTATTATTATTATTACTGCATTTAAATGAGAAAAAAAAGAACAATACTTTTATAGATTTGAAAAAATCTGTATATTCAGGATGGAAAAATGGTGATTTTTAAAAATGTTATGTTATTTTACAGATTTCCTCTGCTTGGTTAAATTGCAGATAATATCTTTTTTTTTAAAAACATACATTTGAATTAGTATTTAAATCAGAAAAAAGGGGGGAAAAATCACCATTTTAAAAATATCTTTGAAGCATTGAAAAATGGTCAACCTTTTATTTTTTAATTACAGATTTTTCCTTGTTTTGTTGAATTACTGATGTTATCTAATAAAATCACAGTAAAACTGTCCTGATTTAAATTTTAACCATAAAAAAATACAAATTTGTAAATAACATCCACATAAATATCAATATCAATTTGTTATTTTTCAACGACAATGAATACAGTTTTATTGTGTTTATATTAGCAAAACAAATTGTCGTTTTACAGCCATTTATTGTTACTTGAAAGAAAAAAATGTATATTAAAGACTGAAAAATAGTAAATCATGTTGTAAAAGCTATTTAACAGATTTTTTCCTGGTTTTGTTAATTTACAATCAACAGCTGGTAAAGTCCACTTAAAAACTTTTTCTGTATTTTTACAAACAGTAATTTGTTCTTTTACGATGTGTGACTTTAAAATTACACTTTTAAAATCGTAGTTTTATTTAATTTTTTAATATTTTCATTTTACAGACATTTATTGTCATTTGAAAGTAAAAAAAAAAAATCAGCATATTAAGGACTAAAAAAAATTTAAATAATTAGTTTAAAGTATTTTTTTCACAGAAAATCACAGAATAAAAGGACTGATTTACATACTGACCGTCCACGTCAAAACTCAGTATTTTCTGTATTTTTAAATGAATTCTTTTACGATGTGTGACTGGACCATTACACCGTTATCAAACTGTGAGTAAATCAATGAATAAACGTGATCATTTTACTGATGTTTGCTGGTCTCCATGTTGTATTTCTGCTGCTGTATTCCCTCCGTTGTTGTTTTCTTTCCTGCGGTGCAGCTTGTGTGTCTTGAAACCAGAAAATCAAACCTGCAGCTTGTTTTTCAGACGTCTCTCTGCCTCCTGCACGTCTATAAATAAACGCCTCGTATCTCCTTTTCAGGTGGAGCGAGACGACTGCAGCCCCAACAACGTGACCCTCGGCTACTACGTGACCAGCGGCAAGACCGTGTACGTGTCGTCGGCGGTGGTCGAGGCGCTCAACGTCTACGGCTTCGACAAGCTGCTGTCCGACATCCGGCAGCACACGCCGCTGGTCAAGGCCGTGCTGGTTCCCGTGGCGACCTGGATACCGGCCCCCAGCATCCACCTGCAGCTGAAGACAGGTGATGGAGGGAGAGCAGAGCTGGATGCTGCGCTCGGAGGACAACACGAGTCCGGGGAGGGAAACTCAGGGGACGGGCAGAGCGGAAACGAAATTAGAAAACTCTGATTACATGTCTGCTCTCCTTTACTCTTCCCTGATAGCCTAAATCCCAGACAAACTCCCAGGATTGCAGAGCAAAGGCAGACCGGTCCGTTCGCTTAGTCGGCCTCTTAAGCCTCTTAGAACAAAACACACACACATTTAACGCGAGTCCGGTGGGAACGAGAGCAGCGAAATCAGTGCAATTAACAAATTGTTGCCTAAACGATGCGTGTGCAGATTACAACGACTAAAATAGCGACTTCCCCCGTTTTCTGTTCTCGGGTTTGTTCGTGATGGCAGACAGCGTTCGGCAGGTTGTTGTGTTAAATTAAAAGTAGGACGTGTAAATGTTTCATATGTAGTCAGTTTGACATCATACATGGTGAGAATAATGTACGAGAAGTTATGAGACGGAGGAAGTCTTTGTGCAGTTTATCACCTGACAGGTGCAAAGAAAAGGGACGAGCTCATCCAGAAGCTTCAGGAAGATTTGAAAATGTATGTTTTTCATGTCTGTAGTTCTGCAAACCGACCACATCCCCTACGAGCTCCAGAAATAAACTCATTTTCATGTAGTTCAGCTAAAAAAATCTTCAAATGCTTAGAACATATCTAATGTCAACTTGGAATCTTCAAACCTACACGGGAAACTTTCACGTCCTCCCGTAGAAAACTGGGAATTTTCCAACCTACAAAATCTACAACCTACAAATCCTCAAGTCTTGACTAAAACTCTTCAAATACCGCAGCAGAAATCTGTAGATATTACACTAGAAACCGTCAAATCTTTACTCGAAATGTTCAAATCCGACAACAGAAACCTTCAAATAAATAATAGAACTCTTGAAATTTATATCTTGATTTTTTTTTTGTTACAACAAATCTTCAAACCTACACTTAGACGTCTTGAAGTCCTAAAAAAATGCAAATGTTACACTAAAAAATGTTTATCTGTATGTATATATATATGTATCTGTTCTAGAAATCAAGTCTTTCACTAGAAACCTTCAAATTAATATCGCAAATTGAATTCAAATCAATACAACAAATAGGATTCATAGCTAATTGTGGTGTTCCCCAAGGCTCGATGTTGGGCCCCTTTTTTTCATTACTAGAAATCTCTAAACCTCGACTAGAAGTCTTGAAATCCTACAAATGTTACACTGAAAATCTTCTAATCTATACTAGAAATAAAGTTCTACACTAGAAAACATAAAAGTAATATTAGAATCTTTAAATCTTTACGAGAAATCTTCTGTTTTAAACTAAAAACCGTGAAATCTGTTCTAGAAATCATGTTCTACACTAGAAACCTTCAAATTAATACCGGAAATCATATTAAAATCAGTACAACAAAAGCATTCATAGTTACTTGTGGTGTTCCTCAAGGCTCGATGTTGGGCCCCTTTTTTTCAGTTTTGTACATAATTTGAAACACGCACCGTTTCCAACGTGTTAAAATGTATTTTATTAACAAATGATACCAGTTTAGTTCGTTGTCGTAAAAATGTAAGATATTGTAAAAATAGGGTTTGGTTTAATTTTGCGGCGCTATTATAATATTTAAGATATATAATTTCTCCAAATTAAGATTGGAAATCTATCAGTTTATTGTAGAAATCTTTGAGTCTATACCAGAAATCCACTTTATCCCCAGAAACCTTGAAATCTTTACTAGAAGTCTTGAAATCCTGTCAATCTGTAAATGATACACTGAAAATCTTCTAGTCTTTACTAGAAATCTACAAACCTTCATGTTCTACATTCGAAACCTTCAAATAAATATTAGGATTTTAAACCCTTATCAGAAATCTTTTATTTTAAATTAGAAACCTTGAAATCTATCAGTTTATTGTAGAAATGTTCAGATCTACACTAGATTCTTAAAATTTGTAAAAGAAATCTTGAAATCCTTGGTGGACATCTTCAGATCTTTACTAGAAAGCTCCAGACCTTCATGTTCTCCAGTAGAAACCCTCAAATTAATGGTAGAATCTTTAAATCTGTACCAGGAATCCTCATCTCCTTTACCAGGGATCTTGAAATCTTCACTAGAAACCTTCTCGTCTCCACTAGAATCCAGTCCGTGACTCTTTCACAGCGAGAAAAAACAAATCAGAGCTGATTATGTGAATAAACTCGTTATATAATAAATAATACAAACTGTATTTTCCTTCGTTCGTTCCTCAGATACGTGTCTATTTATACATAGTGTGGTGATAGCGTCTTATTTTGAGCTGCTCTTTATTTAAGGTTTGTTCTGCGGTTCTGTTTGTGAAGCAGGCCTCCGAGGCAGCAACACAAAACCCGTCTCTGCTCATAAACCCTTAATTCAGACGCCAATTTACCGCCGCGGCACCGTTTACATAAGATTACCAAGTGGGTCAGCAGCAGAGACGCTGCTGGAGGAGGTTCACCAGCACCGCGGCCTGGATTCAGGTGGCAGCGCTGGTCCACCTCGGCTGTCCGGCGCCTTGCTGCCGACGGAGGAGGTCCAGGCCGGGCTCCGGTAACGTCCTCCCTAATCCTCTGATGGGTTCAGTTCTGTCCCGCCCAGACAGAAGACCACTCTTTGTACTTGTTCTCATTCTAGACAGTGGAGATAATCCTCTTTCTGCCGGTTTGTCGGTCACACGGAGCTCTACTTTCATTAATACCACAAACATACAGCCGCATGAAAGCTGCACACTTTCAAAATAAGAGTCTTCTTCAGGTCGTAGTCGTGATGTCAGGTAGCATCTGATGAATTAAACACTTTGACATAATAGTGAACAGCAGCATTATGGGAGAACCTGTGGTGTTTATTTGGATTTGGCGCGTATGTAACTGGATTTTTCTAAATTATTACCACAACAAATTCAACCGGTTTCATCCACAAATATACACTAAATGTTAACATATCACAAGACGTACATGTTTAGATCATGTACAGCCTGAAATCATCTACAATCTACATAGTCTGAGAATATTTAGGCCCTTAATTTAATAATATAATCCTGTTTTTTGATAAGTAGGATGGTTTTACAGGTGTTACAACCGTCTTTAAAAGCACATAAACTATGTTTGCATTGGTTTTAATCTTCCACATAGTTAGTAATGTTCTTAAATTTAAATCAAGTGGCCACAGTGGATTTTATAATAAGGCCTGATGGAAGAAAGTGTTTGAATAAATGGACGTTTTTAGTGTCTAGCCTGATTTATTGCTTGTTATTGCTGCTAAAAATGTAATTTTATATCTTAAACATTAAGATCGTCTGGTGAAATCAAACCAATGTCTTTTTTTTATAGTCTTCTCTCACAGCAAACTAAACTAGTGTCATCAAAAAATAATGAAATGTTGAAGTTTCGTGAGCGTTAAATCACGTACAGTGTGTTCATTCACATGTAGCTACTTGACTTTAATTAAATAGCTACCTGTGAATTAATTCATTAAATAATATTAAAATCAATACAATAAAAAGCATTCATAGTTACTTGTGGTGTTCCTCAAGGCTCAATGTTGGGGCCCTTATTTTTTATTTTGTACATAATTTGAAATGTGTGCAGTTTAGAAAATATTAAAATGTATTTTATTGACACCAGTTTAGGTTGTTGTAAACATGTAAACACTCTGGATATTGTAAAATAGGATTTATTTTATATTTTAATATTTACGGTATAAAGACAAATCAGAAGTTATTATTAATAATAAAATGAAAAAAAGAGTGTCTGAAATCATTTTTTTGTGGTGTTCCACAAGGCTCAATTTAAGGTCCCTTTTTTCTTTTCTTTTTCTTTTTTTTTTTTTTAATGTTGTACATAATTCAAATATGTGCAGTTACCAAAATATTAATATTTACTTTGTTTACAGGTGATACCATCTTAGCTTGTTGTAGTAAGAATTAGAAAAATCTGGATGCTGTGAAGAACACTCCTGTCAGTATTCAGGATTTAGGACCGTTTTAGCAGCAATGATAGATCATACATTCATCTGAAAACCGAACACGAAAAATGTCAGTTTATATGAATACTTTCTTAAATCAGGCTTTATCGTACATTCCACATGTTTCATTGACAGTAAACTGCACATTTCTGACTACGTGGGATTATAAACCAACACAAATGCATTTTACTGTTATATTGTTGGGATGTTGTCAGACTTTTTGAGATAAATAACGTGTTGTATTGCATTTTTCTTGCAGTCTTGAGGTTTGTTGGCCCGACGGACAACGTCTACTCCTGCAGCTTCGTCCAGATGTTGGAGCAGAGACTGGAGAACGCCTTCGACGAGGCTCAGGACAAAGTGTTGGAGACGTACAACCGGCTCACCGTGGAGGTACGGCGGGAAGCTGCTGCTTCATCTCGAAACGCTCTTTACGACAAATCTGAGTTCCTGGAAGCCTTTACATTTAGACCAGAAGTCTTCAAATCACACTAGAAACCTGAACATTTAAATTAGAATCTTCAAATCTATTCTAGAAATCTTCAAATCCCTCAACAGAAGTCTTGAAATCTTTACTAAAAATCTTCAAATCTTCAAGTTCAACACCTGAAACCTTCAAATTTATTCTAGAAATCTTCAGTTTTACAATAGAAGTCTTAAAATCCTACACTACAAATCAAGTTTTATATTAGAAACCTGAAAATTAATATTAGAATCTTTAAATCTACTAGAAATCTTCAAATCCCTCAACAGAAATCTTGAAATCATCGCTAGACATCTACAAGTTTATTCTAGAAATCGTTTTTGTTCTAGAAATCTCTAAACCTCTACTAGAAGTCTTGAAATCCTGGACTAGAAATCTGCAAATGTTACGCTGAAAATCGTCTTAACTTTCCAAGAAACCTTCAAATTCTACACCAAAAAACTTCAAACCTTCGAGTTCTACACTAGAAACCTTCAAATTAATATTAGAATCTTCAGATCTTTACTAGAAATCTTGACATTTATGGTAGAAGCCCTCCAACCCTGCACCAGGAGCCTTGAAACCATCTCTAGAAACCACCCTACCATGACCAGAGAGGCTCTGCTGCATCGTGCTCTTTGCTGTTTGCGGTCCAGATGTTTTATTTCTTGCTGTTTAAAGCAGCACATAGAAGTCCTGCCTGGTGGCCAGTATCAGGTCCTGGATGTCAGACAGCTCCACACTTTGAAGCCTGGACGGCTGCAGACTTACGTAACGCTTTATTTCTGGAGACACAATCAGAGCTCCTTCTTCTTCTTCTTCCTCCAGTTTCTTCCTTCTGTTCCTCGTCTCGTTCTTCTCTCCGGCTGTCAAGGTGTTCTCATGGCTGCAGCCTGCACACGCCATCCTGCTTATAAAGTAGGTCTGAGCAGCAGCAGATAGAGGCTCCATTCATAATTCATCCTCTGAAATATTAACGTCGGTGCAGGAATGCGACTCCTCGTATCGTCAACATCCACTTTCCTCTGATGACTGGTATCCAGGTGCTCATTGTTGCAGAGGGAGAACGTGTTCGGTCCAAAGCGCCTCGCTGCGTCTCTTCGTGTTCGCTGTCGACGTTCGATATCGTCGCAGATGTCTGAATTATACATGTTGGCTATAAATACAGCGATGCAATCCTCCCGCGCCTATGGGGCTCGTGGGTCTGAATAAAACATCGACGCGCTGTTTTTGCTGTTTGCTCAGGTCCAGAGCGTCTCGCAGGAGCCCGGTTCTCCGTCGGTGACTCTGGTCTACGTGGTGAAGAACCAGGACGCCATCCTGAACGGGACCATATCCAGCGGCCTCCTGAACCAGCTGACGGCGGAGCTGGTGGGGTACTTCCTGTTCTACCCGCCGCTGGTCATCGCCGAGCGTAAGTACAGCCAGGAAGGGGCTTAGTCTGGGCTTAATCTGGGTTTAATCTGGGCTTAATCTGGGTTTAATCTGGGCTTAATCTGGGTTTAATCTGGGCTTAATCTGGGTTTAATCTGGGCTTAATCTGTATAATTTTAGCTCAGTTCGAACCAGAACGTGACTTAATCTGGATTTAGTCTGGGCTTAATCTGGGTTTAATCTGGGTTTAATCTGGGCTTAATCTGTATAATTTTAGCTCAGTTCGAACCAGAACGCGATTTAATCTGGGTTTAGTCTGGGCTTAATCTGGGTTTAATCTGGATTTAATCTGGGCTTAATCTGGGTTTAATCTGTATAATTTTAGCTCAGTTCGAACCAGAACGCGACTTAATCTGGGTTTAATCTGGGCTTAATCTGGGTTTAATCTGGNTTAGCTCAGTTCGAACCAGAACGCGACTTAATCTGGGTTTAATCTGGGCTTAATCTGGGTTTAATCTGGGTTTAATCTGTATAATTTTAGCTCAGCTCAAACCAGGACGTGACTTAATCTGGGTTTAATTTTAATCTCTTTGTGGTAGTTTTGTGTCTCTTTAGTTGTTTTGTGTCTCGTTTGTGTTTTCTTTCCTTTCTGTGATTTTTTTTGTCTCATTTGAGCATTTTGTGGCTGGTTTGTGTTTTTGTGTTGTTTTGTGGCTCATTTGTGTTCATTCTTTGTCATTTTTATGAGTAATTTTTCTAAATGTGCGTCTCTTTTCTGACTTTCTGTCACATTTTGGTTGTTTTAAGCCTCTTTGTGACTGTTTTGTCTCTTTGTAGTCTTTTTTTTTGTCTCATTTGTGTATTTTTGTGACTCATTTATGTCGATTCTTCTCCTGATTTTCAGCATTTTGTGAGTCATTTTTCTAACTTTGCGTCTCTTTTCTGACTTTCTGTCACATTTTGGTTGTTTTAAGCCTCTTTGTGACCATTTTGGCTCCTTGTAGTCATGTTTTCCCCTCATTTGTGCATTTTTGTGTTGTTTTGTGGCTCATTTATGTCAGTTCTTTGCCTGATTTTCATCATTTTCTGTCTAGTTTTTCTACATTTGCGTCTCTTTTCTTATTTTGTGTCTCATTGTGGTTGTTGTTGGTCTCTTTGGGCCACTTTTGTCTCTTTTTAATCATTTCGTGTCTCACTATTGTGACTCTAAGCGCACAGAGCCGTCAGAAAGTTGAACATTTGAGGATTTCTTCTGCCTTTACACTTTCTTGCTCTGATAAACGGTTTAATTTTGGCATTTTTTTTAAAACCTTAACGTGTTTTTCCAATCCGTCGGCAGGTTTTGGGGTTCAGAGGGTTAATAAACGCCACGTGTACGATGTTTAGCTGAATGCTGACTTTGACTTTACAGAATGCAGCGTGTCGGACTTGTTTTCCAAAATTAAAAAAGCTGCATTATGCTTGGCTGCCATTTCAACCAGTGACATTTAGCCGAAGCGCATCAGCAGACTTCACACACACTCCACATTCGGTTATTTCAGCTCGTTCGGCTCCTCGCTGGTGTCACAGTCAGTTTGAAGTTGAGAAGGTGGTGCTTTCCTGAGATACCGAAATCTTTGCCGCAGTTTTCATCATGCACCTTGAAGACCTGTAAAGCAGCCCGGGTCCTCCGTCGGCCCGGCCGGCTCGGTCCTCTGTTGCACCTGTTTGCAGCAGATTTGTAGCAGAGGTGAAGACGCTAATAAACCTGGACGCGCTGTACGCTTTGCATTGAGCTGAAAGCCTGAGATGTGCCAGGAAAGTGTGAGGGATCCATATTTTCTCCTCTCACCTGCGTCAGTGTTGCCCTCCGGCGGGTGAAAGCGAGGACGGAGGCTGCGCCCACGTCCACGCTCGGCAGCAGGAAGGGAACGAGCGTACAGAGCGTAGCCGCGATGCTAAAAAAAGACTCGAGCACTCGGAGCCGCGTTTTGGTGTTGAAAGGCTCGGCAGGCTGAGGACGGAGGGAGAGTGGAAGTGAAGGATGTCGGTATTGACACAAGACGAACAAAGACGCCGAGAGAGCAGCAGAAAATACCCCGAGTGCACTCGAAGAACGGCGTCTGTCGAACGAAGGCAAACGAGCTGCACGGTGGAGAAACAAGGAGCCGCTTTTACCCGAATCTACCTTAAACCGTTAGTTCATAGATTTGACCTGTTTGGTTTAAATACAGATAAAAACGGTGAAAGAACAGAAACGTGTTCATTTAGTCCTCGTTAAAACACTTTCTAAAAGCAATTAAACGTACAGTCGGACTCATTTCTTTACTGTATTTAAATCTGCAAAAAGCATCAATATTTTGTTTTGTTTTAAAAGTACATTAAAAAGAGAAAATTGGTAAAGCATTAAAAAAACAAACTGTTTTTTAACAGACTTTTATTAAGTTACAGATGATATCTAGTATAGTTACATTTAAAAATATTAATTTACAAAAAAAGAGAAAGAAAAAGAGGCAAAGACGGTTAATATTGTCCACACAGAAAATCCTTATTTTTACAAATAATGTGTAAATGTTCAGTTTCTGGAAAAAAAAAAAAGAGAGAAAAAGGAAAAAAAAAATGCTATAATTTAATTGTGTATCTACGGTTAAAAACAGGACATTTTATGTGATTCAAATATAAACCTACAGAATAAAAACTGCAAATGCAAATCTATCAAACAACAATCATGGAAGCTAATTAACCAGACTTTATCCTGTAAATAAAAATGGTAGTTTTATTTTTAATTTATGGTTCATTTACTGTAAATTTAAAACAAAACAAAACAAAAAAAGTCAAATTATATCTACAGCAATAAACTAAAACAGCCTTTTTGTCAGTTACAGTTGTTCATACAGTGATAATAACTTTTGTTTTAAGAACAAAACAACATTTCTGTAAAAATACTGAGCTTAAATAAAAGGTTTGTTATTTTCGGTGAGCTACAGCGACGTACCGGTGGGTCACACTCTGGACATTCACGGACGTCTCTTGGTCGTGACCTCGGCTCATCTTGGAGCTTCACAGCGATGAGGTTCCTGCTGCTCTTCCTCCAGACTCCAGCGTCTTGGTGTTAAATCATTACATAACAGCTGCTGTGCTGCCGGGCCGGGCCGGGCCGGGCCGGGCCGACGAGCTCAACACATGCAGGACTCCTTCAACAACGCCGACTACTGAAAAGCGGCGAGTCCACCGTGGGGCGATGCATGATTCATGACTGAGCGTATGTTTGACCTGCTTGTGAACGGCGGCGGGTCGGGATCGCTCTGGATTGTTTAAGGACTGTCAGGTTGCACTGAAGCCTCCAGCGCAGAAGAAAACTCCGTCTAATACCAAATGTTACTCACTGGGTTCTCCAAGACACACTCGCTGCCTCCGATTCAGGAAGTCGGTGTTTGGTTAAACACAAGACAAACACGTCTTTGTCACAATCTAAGTAAAACTGTGTTTCTGTTTATAGGGAACTCGTCATGTGTGTAGTGACCACTCGTTTATATTCAAGCTTTTAGTTTAGTTTAGCTTGAGAACGTCCTTCCGTTGTGATTCTGTGCTACTGTGGGAATGTTTTACAGGAAGTCATTCCCAACAGCAACGTCCTGAGGCCAAATGTTCTACCTCCGTTAATAAGTCACATTTACAGGAACATTTTATATTATTTCTGTCATTCTGAGGCCTTGATAACGTCTTAAAACAAATTTTCATGTTGGTAAGAGAATATTTTTAAATCTTTTATCATGACAACATCCTTCAAACTTCCTCTGATGTGTAAAACATTGTATGTCAGTGAACAGTTCACCTCACAGGAACATGTAAGAACCTTTAGCTAATGTTAGCCAGTGTTATGTATATATATGTATTTATTCATATAAACAGATGCTCAGATGATCATATTAGAGACTCAGACTTTCTTTATAGACTTTCTTTATTGTCATTGCACAAAAACACAATCGTGAATCTGGCAACGAAATGTCGCTGCTCGGCTACCGGAGTGCACAGAACGGGAGCTTGTGAGGCAGTGACTTGTTCATAAATGCTGTAAACATTTAGCTATAGATCAATATACATAAATATACATAAATATACATATGAAAGACTAGTGCAATGGAAAAAGAACTTAATGTAAACAGTAGAAAGATAACAGTGTATTGTCAGAAAGTATAAGGAACAAAAATACAGAACAGAATAAGATAAAAAAAATATACAACATATAGAATAATATAAATATATTATAATATTATGTGCAGTTTTAATTAATTGACATGACTTTCACATGCGTCTTTTTTTTTTTTTGGTAAATGTTCGTCAAAATAACCAAAAACATATTCACCATGATTCAGTGTAGGAAAAAAAGTACGTTTATTAAGGATTGAAAAATGGTAAAGTAGTTTATAAACTTTTATTTAAGAGATTTAACTGTTTAGTGAAAAATAACAGAAAAATTATTAATTATAAAAGATGTTCACCTTAAAACACACAACACTCATTTGTTCTCCGACTCTGTGTGACAGCAACATTAAAATCTTACTTTATTCAATATTGTTTGAAGTTCTTTGTGGATATTTTCTTACAGTGTCCAGTCAGACAGAAGCCCACATTCAGAGTAGTTTTGGATTCTTTACGAGTGTTAAATCATCTTTACTGTGACTGTTCTCTTTCAAAATGCTGCTTTAAAACGTCACCAGACCTCTGCTGACATGAACCACTGCATCGCTTCACTCAGACGCTGTTTGTTGTATTTATTTCCACCTAATGAACGACGTTAGAAACCCGAGCGAGCCGCCGCAGACGACCCACATGGGCTCCGTTTGTATTCTGCTCCGGCCTCCGACGCCATCTGTGAGATTTTAAAAGGGCAAACAGCTGCACGGCTCGTATCATCCCAATCGTGCCACGGGCGATCCGTCGTTCGTGTCCCCCGAATCAGCTAATTTTAGCCCGCTGAGATTAGATTAGTATCCGTTTGTGCTCTCAGCACCCAAAGGGCCGGAGCATCACACTTCATAGGGTCCAAACCCACTTGGCATCGCCGCGGAAACCCTGTCTGCTCCACGGCTAACGCTGCACGCTTCAGATATTCAACTATTTACGTTTTTAATCTCACACAGCCTACAGGTCAGCCGAGAAGTCCCCACATTTATATGACATGTCTGCTGGTTGTGGCTTTACAGTTTTGCCTAAACACAGTAACTTTACAGATGTACATTGTAAAATTGGTTTTCTACAGTCAGTATATAGATTAATACTTGTTTTTCTGTGATTATACCACTTACAGTATCTGTTCTTTACACAAAATAGAGTAAATCTGTGAAATAACAGCTTGAAAATCCATTTAATGTGCATCAGAATCAGCTTTACTGGCCAAGTACACCAGACAGAGAATCTGGTGTCGGCTGTTGGTGTCGCCCTGGGAATGAGCAAGGAGATAATAGAAGTAGGAAAATAAAGAATAAAGTGAAACAACTACAGAAAGAAAAAAATATTTAAAAAAAGAATTTACACGTCTGAGCAGAAAACATAGATGTGCAGTGGTGCAAAGACATACATGACATCCATCCCTAACATGCGTTTTTCTTTCAGTATTTAATATTAGTCAAAATATTTTGGCTGCTTTTTTTGACAAGATGTCAAAGTAAAAAAAAAAAAGCTTCCTACAAAACCAGGTCAGTTGATCAAAGCTGCAGACTTTATAGTTTTTTACAGATTCTGGTTTGAGGAAACGTTTATTTATGGCAGTTTTTTTTAATGAAACAAGCAGGATAAAGTGATTTTATGATAAAACGTGACAGTTTAAACCTTAATTTGCAGATGACTGGTTCATGGATCATCTGAAAGTTACACATTTGAATATTTTGTCCTTATAAATGGTGTCATTTTAGCACTTTAAAAAACAATGTGCCTTTCGAACCCGTCGGCATGTTTCAGAGTTCAGAGGGTTTACGGCCTGCGGGGTGATTGATCACGATCAATCAATCGGCAACGAGGGAGATTAGATTAGTATCTGCTTGTGCGTGCTCTCACCACCTCGAGGGTGGAAGCATCGCGCTTCACGTGGTTCAGATCCAGTCGTAAACCCCGTCTGCTCCCGTTGTTCAAGCAGCGAAACAATGAACAAATGGACCGATGTGAACTGATGAACGAGATAAATGATGGGATAAAGAACAGCTGTAGCTGGTCAGCAGCACATCAGCCGTAGCGGCGACCGGTCCAGGCATGTATGGGATCGATTTTAGTTAACTGAGAGCACAAATGGGCGATCGATCGTCACATCGATGTGTCTGTTTGCATGCTCGGGACTCGTTGTGTCTACAGAACGTCTCTGTTTGACTGCGGTTGTGCCAAAGTCAACAGCAGATTCATTCATGGTCTGCACTCAGAGGATGAAACCGAACGTCCTCGTCCACGCGCCTCTGCCAGAAATGTGGCAGAGTCAGATTTACGCACTGTATCATAAAGGAGGAAGTCCACTTTTACTATCCTGTCTTGCACTATTTGGGGTTAATTATTTTCTAAGTAAAGGCTGAATTGCACTTTGTGTCTGTAAAGCCACACATCTGATATAAATTTAACTGGCGACCAACGTGTGCACATTTTGGTGTAAACTTAAGATGAATTTGTCTGAGTCCCCAGTGTTTTGATGCCACTTTATCTCGGCTGGCTTTGCTCTTTGTGTGGGATTTATTGACGTAAATCAGGACAAGACTGAAGTCTCTGTCGCTTCTGGTCGCATTAAAACCAAGACAAGAGGTTACAACGTGGTCAGAGACAGCACCGCGCCCCTTTATTATCTGCAGGACCGTTATGTTCTGGTCCCTTCAGGAAGAACACGTCTCCACGTCTTTGTGTTGACATAAACCAGATGCAGAGGACGCATGACACTAAATGTAAGATGATTTTATTGGTTATTACAGTTCTTTCTGGTTCTGACATGTTTGTTTGCTTCTCTACTGTGAACGCTGAGTCGGTGAGATACGTTCACATGGATGTTGTTTCTGTGCAATGTTTTGGCAAAAATTTAAGATATTTCATGTTTTCTGCACCAAATGGGGCCAGTAGCTAAAAATGTGATCCATTTAATCTTCTGGATCTGCTGGAAACTATCCCGCCACGGCTGTAGGAGTTTTATTTCTGGAGATACTGAAGCATGAAGACGGGTCCCCAGATGACATGTTTGATATGTTTGGTCTGAAAACATTCTCAAAATTCAACCAATACACTTTACAAATAAGTAAAAAGTCGAGCAACAGATGTCGGTAGAAAGGTGTTTAGGGGCATTGTTTTAATTTGATTATTCTTATTTTGTTTTTACTGGTGACATGGAGGCTCTCGCACCATTAAATCACCATTAGCTCTTTTATTATTAGATGCAGCAGGAGCTCTTTGTTTTTTTGTCTCTTGAATTATGCAATTAAATTTTCCGGCCGCTGTGTTGATGAAACTAATGCAGCGGATTCGTCTGCACGTCCAGCAGATTCTCTAAAAGTTCACCGACTGCGTCTGAACCTTCACACTTCAGCGCTGTTTGTCTGCAGCGTTTACGTGAACTTGTTTAACTCCGGAGCCGATGCAAACCGAGGCAGAAGCACTGGCTGGTCGCTGAGCGCTCTGCAGACGTTCAGCTCAGAGGAGTTCGCTGGAGACAGATGGCGAACCGGGCAGATGGGAAATAAGGAGGCGGAGGTTGACGGATGAATAGGACGCCGAAAAGAGGTCGACGGGCTGAGGGAGCGATGATGTGTAAATAAGGAGACAGTCGGCCGGACGGGAAGGAGTTTTAGGAAATGAGTAGCGTGACAGGTAAACAGGTAGAGGAAGAGACGGAGGCACGAAGGCAGAAAGGAAGCCTAAGAGGTTTAAACGTACAGGATGGAAAAGAAAGCCGACAAAGAGAAAACGAGTGGCACACCGAGGAGCTGCCGTCACATTTACACGACCTCCACAAGCTTTTAATCAAATCAAGTCAGAAATAATTAAAATACAGCAGTGAAGGAGATATTTAGCACAGCGTGAGGTTCATAGTTCCACTTTTTGAAAAATTCATTCCGTGCAGTCTGAAGCTGAGCTGAGCTGAATATGAGGCTTCAGCGGTCGGACGAACCCGACGCTCACAGAACAAACAGCACCGATACCAAAGGAGGTTCTCTCTGTGCAATCCGGTTATGGGATTATTTTGTGTATTTCTGACAGTATGTTTACATTTTTCACAGATGTATTTGTTAATGAGATGCGTAGCCCGACTGAGCACTGCCTACTGTGGCGGATGTCATTTACTTTTGGCAGTTTTCACTTATTGCAGAAAAAAATGTGCTTTTTGTTTTGTCAAAGAAACATTTTGTGTTTGCTTGTTAAAGGTGCATTACCCAATTAATAAACCTCACAACATGCAAAGATCTGTATGAAGCCTTTCTCGTAGCTGAATAATCAAACGCACAGACGAGTTTGCAGGTTGTGGTGCAATCAGGGGTGACATTTACTGATTACAGGCCTGTTAGAGCACCATTTGCAGTGTTTATATTGATGTAGTTTGTCTGATATCTTTGTTTATGTATCTGGAAACTAGACGACAATTAACGTAATTCACACGTCTCCTCCTCCATCATAGCCGCCCAGTTCAGATGAAATACGTCTGACTGTGGAGCTAAAACTAATCCTCCGAACTCAGTGTAGTTTGTTGGTTCGACATGATTTCAGTAAAAGTTGTCGTAACTCGAAAAGATTGATGTCATTTTTCTTTTTTTTTTTGTTGTTGAACCCAAACATTATTTTTCGAGTGCGGCTTTAACAACTCCCGTGCAATTAAGGAAATGCATTTACAAGGGATTAATTTCAGCTCTTGCTGGTGTTACAAAGACATAAACGGGACTTTCTTATTCTAATTTCTTGACTCTCTCTCTCTCTCCAGCTCTTGAATACCACAATCTGAACACATCGACGGCAACCAAGAACTACTGGGTGATAACAGGTAAATCACAAACACGAGACGAGCTAGGACATCCATTAACGTTGACCTTGTATATTTTGATAGGAAAAAAATAATCTTATCCCGTCTAAAGTGACAGGTTCCCTCAGTAACAGTGAGTTAAATAGACCCTCTACAGCCTCTAAGCCTCCCTGAGCCATTCAGACAGGAGAGGAGTGTTGTAATACCTGCTCTGGCCTGCAGAGGCGCTGCTGAGTTTGATTGATTTTAGGATGATTCCAACATGATTTAACCCTTTGTCTGGCAAGGAACCATATATGGTAACTTCCTTTAAGAATGACAGGGGGCAGAGTCACGTGACTTCATCCAGCCAATCAGCACAGGTCAGGCGACATCACAACACAGTCGCTATGGCCTCTGACCAATCAGGAGTGAGCCAGACTGTTATTTGTTAGTTGTAAGTTCTGTTAGTCCGACTGGTGGTTTGGAAATAATCCTCCATCTGTATAGGTGTATTTTTAAAAAATAATTCATGCACATCTTATTTGGATTTTATTTTATTTTATTTTATTTAACCTGAGGTGGGCGAAGAATCGTATATAGTAACTGGTTCGACTTTGATTTGCAGCCTAAATCTGAAAGTTTTTTAAAAAGTCAAAAAAGAAAAATAAGTGCCCTTTTATCCACCGATGACAGTCCAGGGTCGAACATTTTAAATTCAAAGTATTTCAACGACGGCCTTTTAAAGGCTTGAAGCCGGACCAGCAGGACCCCCGTTGGCTCGACTGACCCCGACTGGCGAGTTCGTAGTGATGTGTAGGACCACTGTTAGACACACACAGGAACACACAACCTATAGCTGCCACACACACAGTAACACACACAGATACACACTGTGTGTATCTGTGTGTGTTACTGTGTGTGTGTTACTGTGTGTGTCCTCGGCCTCCTGATGTGATGTGAGCTGATCTCTGCTTCAGTCAGGAAGCTGTGAATTATACATCAATAGGAAGAGCAGCTTAGACACACCGAGAGGGGGGAGGAGGGGGTGAGACAGAAGGTGAGGCAGAGGATGAGGTCGGTGAAGCAGAGGGGGAGGAAGGGGGTAATGGAGATGAGGAAGGGGGTGAGGTAGATGGTGAGGCAGAAGGTGATGGAGGTGAGGATGAGAGTGAGACAGAGGGTGAGGTCAGTGAGGCAGAGGGTGAGACAGAAGGTGAGACAGAGGGTGAGGCAGAAGCAGAGGGTGAGGTAGGGAGGACAACATATTCTGCTGAGTCACTGTTTGTGCAGCAGCATTTAACAAACTGCTGATTTGTTCAATCGATGCAGCTGATTAGAACCGATCACCTGCAGAGTGTGTGTGTGTGTGTTCTAATGTGTGTATTACTGTGTGTGTTAGTGTGTGTGTTAATGTGTGTGTTAGTGTGTGTATTTCTGTGTGTGTTAGTGTGTGTGTGTTACTTCTAATTCTGTTTCTTCTAATAGAAGTTTCTGGCTGATCACCTTTTAAATGGGCGATGACGTCATCAATAATCCATCAATAATCCATCAATACTCTATCAGTGCTCTGTCAGTGCTGCCCCCCGCTGACCCCTGTGATGTGTGTGTCCCTGCAGTGATCCAGGACGTGGACCGGTCCTCCCTGGAGGACAACTACCAGAGCTTCGCCAGCCTCATGGAGCAGCGCCTGGCCGAGCTGTTCCTGGTGGCGGGTCGGCAGGGCAGCAGCCGCTCGGTGCGCTCCAGGAGGGCCACCACGGTGGGCGGCTACACCGTGCAGGTGGGTGGAGGGCACGC